CCCCAAAACCCCAAAACCCCAAAACCCCAAAACCCCAAAACCCCTACCAAATGGAGAAATATTGGAACGAATTTGTAATGAAATATATAATACTTGCAGCCCTTCTTGTTCCTTTCCACTTTCCTGGTGAACTTATGATTCCACTTGCGTCTCTTGCCTGAGTCAGTCCTTATCGATCAAGATCGGAACGGTATACTCTCCAGTGAACTCGACATTTCCGTAGATCCTTCTCTGACATTGCCTTGTGAGTTTGTCAAGCTCTTCCCAGCTATCAAAGGTATGATTACTCTTCCTAGTCTCTTCGACAAAGAAGAATATGAGATCCTCAGACAAAGCTCTAGCCTCTGGGCTACGGACGTAGTCATTCTTCTCGGAAAATCTGTAGAAAGTACGCTCTGGATGAAACTGAACGCCATAGATGGGATATGAATGGGCCTCTATAGAGTTGAATAAAGAAGTACCTATTGCTGTTACAATTACGTTCTCTTCATCATCTTCTGCATATGATAACACTTGGTAAAATTCTGCTAGCTCAGGCCTGTCATCAGTGTAATCAGAGAGGTAGACTGACCAATCATGAATGTTGATCGCTACCTTTTCTTGAGCGTAAATCTTCTCCTTGCCATGATCAATCATGCTGAACAACCTCGATTCAGTGTAGTTGTCAACGTGAGGGTACAAGTAATCGTTAACTTTAGTATCTGCATATCCGTGCTTGAGGAGGAGCCTCTCTTCAGACCGCAAGATGTTTAACAACTGAAATCCCTGGCAAATACCAAACAGAGGGAACTCATCTCCTTCATCAGTGCGGTTAAGTGCGTAATTGAAAATAATCTCTGATGTTTTCGTATAAATATGGTATTCTTCAGTCTCTCTGTCAACTAGGTCGAGATCTCCACCTGAAAACAACACTCCGTTAAGCTTGTTGAGCAGAGGAATTAACTCTTCTTCTGAAGCATCGTGGAAGATTGGGACTACCCTGGCACCTGCTAGTTCAAGATACCTATTAGTTTACAAAGAAACCTTACATCGAAACAGAATAGTATAAAATATAATGCGAATGTTCTTCTTCATCCATCGTCTCCGGATCAAATGGCGTATACTTTCCATCTTCTTCAATGTCCCCAACTCTCATAGGAAGTGTAAGAACCCCAATCACCGGGGCATTGTTAAAATCCTTCTCAAATCAACCACCTATGCCTATAACAGCCATCACTAATGCGAGTGACGTTAAAAACTTCTTGAGCATATACATATTAATTATAAAGAATTTACCAAATTTTTCATTTAAATAAGCAGAAGAGGGGTTTTGGGGTTTTGGGGTTTTGGGGTTTTGGGG